CCACCTGCTGATGAGCATATGTTGAGTGAAAGAAACCAGACACAATCAATAGTGTACATGCGCTAGGGTTTCATTTATAGAAGTTCAGATACAGGAAGCACTTGTATTGATTGGCGATGCACAAATAATGACAAACCACAAGGAAAAGCAAAGGTGTGGTTGCCAACAGATCACCAACAACACAGCTACCTTTGAATGAGGGAGGGGGACCAGGGGTCTTCTGTTCTGTTATATTCTATTTCTGGACCCGAGAGACAGTTACATGCCTCATTATTGCTTGTGGCATCATGAACTTACTGTTCTGAACTGCTTTGGGGGGCATGTATGTGTTGTTGTTGTTGTACACTGAGTTGACTATGATGCTCAGTGACACTAAAAGACATAGGAGAATTGTCCCATAGGGTTTCCCTGGTTATGGGAGCACTAGATCTTTTTCCAAGGCTTGAACCACCAAACCTTTGGGTTAGCAGCCTGTGCTTAATCACTGCACCACCAGGGTTCCTTGAGCATGTTTGTAATATATGCCAATTACAGATGTTTTTTAAATGCTAGACACCATCCTCAGCTCTGTCTGGTCCCCACCCCCTCCCAGGGCTCCAGACCTGGAAGGGAACCTTTCTTATCACCAGCTGGTGGGAGCCACAGGCAAGCAGCCAGGCAGGATGCAGCGTTAAGTAGCTCCCACCTGGGGTGGAAGTAGACCCCACTGAATTATATTTTCCAGGGGACCCCAGGTCATGGTGGGTCTATTTCATAGGCCGAGCATCAGAGCCACAGGGTCCTATAGCTCAGTCCGAACAGCCATCGATATCCCTAAGGGTTCACAGACAGAAGACCGGAGAGCCGCTGAGGTTAGGGGAGCCAAGCTCTGTGACCACCCAACAACCGCCTCCGACCCCTTCTCAGGCAAAACGCCTTCAAAATACTTTGATCCCATTGGTCTTTCTCTTCTTTTCTCTACTTGTTTCTCTCTGTTTCTGTTCCCCCAGTGTCTCTTGTCGCCGTCATTCCCCTCCACCCCCCGCACCCACCCCCAGGAAGCCGCCCAATCACACTCTCACTCTGGTCTCCCTCAAGGCTGGCCCCGCCCTAGCCCCTCTTGGTTTTGGTCTTTCTCGTTGGGCGGCCACCGGCGCGCCTCCTCTAGCTCTGCCCACCTCCGCTCCAAGGCTGGTCAGTTCTTTGGCAATTTCTGAGCACTTCCTCAGACAAGGGAAACTGAGGCCCGGAGAGGGGCAGCGCCGGTCCCAAGGTTAAATTCACGGCTCTCCATCCTAATGCCAGGGGCCTGCCTGGTTCCTTGGGATTGATGGTTTCCCACCAACGCCCATTCTTCGTATCCTTCTCTAGAATCCTCCACGGATTTAATTAACAGCTGCCACTCCCTAGTCCCAGCAAAAAAAAAAAAAGAGAGAGAGAGAGAAGGTGGTTTCGGTGTCTTTTCTATCTCAATTTTGTTATGGGAAAATAGATATAACAAAACGTTGTCGTTTTAATCATTCAAGTCAATGATATTAATTACATTCACCTGGCTGATGTACTGTCATTTCCTAAAGTTTTTCAGTCCTCACCCCCAACAGACACTCAGCCCTCTTCAATAGTAACTAGCCCTTCTTTTCTTCCCCAGGAGCCTTGCTGGTGCAGTGGGTTAAGCGTTGGGCTGCTAACAGCAAAGTCCAGAGAAAGATGAGGTCATTTGTTCCCATAAAGAAACTCTATGGAGCAGTTGGACTCTGGTTTCCAGGGTCTCTATGAGTTGGAATTCATGTTGATGGCTGTGGGATTGCATTTTTCTCTTTCCCCTTCCCCAGCCCCGTTGCTGTTGGAGTGGATTCGGACCCATAGTGACCCCATATGATGGAGTAGAGCTGCCTCGGAAACCCTATGGGGCAGTTCTGCTCTGTCACCGGAGATGCCCTGGTGGTAATAACCTTTCAGTTAGGAGTCAAGTCAAGGTCTCGAGGACTCCTTTCCCCAAGCAACTGCGAACCTGTTTTTTGTCTGTGCCAAGTTGCCTGTTCTAGACTTTGCACAGAAGGAAGACCACATACTGGGTATCATTTTGTGCCTACTTTTGCTCGTTTCTCACCACCTCCCCCATCAGCGTTCTCTCCTCGTAACACTCCCATTTCTTTTCCTCTAGGCTGTGCCTTCCTCACCTACTGTGCCAGGGACTCTGCCATCAAAGCTCAGTCCGCTCTGCACGAACAGAAGACCTTGCCCGGGGTGAGTCCTGCCTGGTGTCCTCATGGGGGGAGGGGAAGATGAAAATCCTGTGGCTCTGGACCCAGAAATGGAACCCTGGTGGTATTTATTAAAGGGTTAACCGTTTGGCTGCTAAACCAAAAGGTTGGTGGTTCAACCCACTCAAGGGATTCAAGGGAGGAAGACTTGGCAAGCTGATGCCGTAGGATTGTTGTCATTGTTAAGTTCCATCAAATTGGTCTTGTAATGATCTCATGCACAGTAGAACAAAACACTGCTCGGTTCAGCGCTGTCCTCATAATCATTGTTATGTTGTGTCCACTGTGTCAGTCCATCTCATTGAGGGTCTTGCTGTCCTTCTCTAGGACTGGTCCCTTCAGACAACATGTCCAAAGTATGAGAGTCAAAGTCTCCCCTTCTCCACTGCTAAGGAACATTCTAGCTGTAATTCTTCTAAGACAGATTTGTTCATTCTTGGGTATAGTTAATATTCTTTGCTAACATCATAATCCAAAGTCATTCATTCTTCTTGGGTCCACCTTAGTCGTTGTCCAGCTTTTGCATGTACTCGACGTGACTGAAAATGTCATGGCTTTGGTCAGGTACAGCTCAGTCCTCAAAGTGATGTCTTTACTTTTGAACACTTTAAAGAGGTCTTTTGCAGCAGATTTGCCCAGTGCAATATGTTGTTTGGAGTCCTGGTGTGACGCTTAAGGATAATGTGCTGGACTGCAAAGTCAGTTTGAGCTGCAAGGTTGGCAGTTCAAACCCACCAGCCACTTCTTGGAAACCCTATGCAGGATCGCTGTAAGTCGATACCAACTTGATGGCATTTAACAGCTACGACAATATGTCATTTGGTTTGATTGCTGTTAACATGAGTGTAGATTGTGGATCCAAGTAAAATGAAATCCTTGATAATGTCAATCTTTTTTGTGTATCATGAGTTGTGAGGACTTGGGATGTTTTTACACTGAGTTGTGAGAACTTGGGATGTTTTTACACTGAGTTGTAATCCATATGGAAGTCTTTGATCTTCATCAGTAAATGTTTCAAGTCCTCTTCACTTTTGGCAAGCAAGGTTGTGTCATCTGCATATCGCAAGTTATTAATGAGTCTTCCTCCAATCCTGATTCTTTTTCCTATAATCTAGCTTCTCTGATTATTTGCTGTGACCCGTAAGCCTAGAAGGCCCTATTGAGCAGTTCCACTTTGTCACATGGGGTCGACATGAGTTGAAATTGATGGTAGCCTTCAACAACAAAACAATAACTGGACCTAGAGAGGGGTGTCAGGAGGTACGAGACAGAAACCATCATCCAAGTGAGCGTTTATTGAGTGCCAACTGCATGCAATGTCCTATAAATTCCACCAGCGTCTCAGTGTATGGTGGTGCAGGTTCATACTGCACAAGGACACCTGGCCCAGGGTGAGCCTGAAGCATGAGGTAGGGTTAGCTGGACATTTCAGGCAGGGGGCACTGCCTGTGCAAAGGCCCTGAGACAGGACCAAGTCTGGTGAGTTGGAGGAACAGTGAGGATGCCCGTGTAACTGGAATGAGCCTCAGGAGGACTGGGCTTTTACCCCAAGGGAGGTGGGAGTCCTGGAGTGTTGTGTACAGAGGAGGGATAACCCTGACTCAGGTGCTCTGGCCCTCTGGCTGCGGCGAGAGGAATGGACTGGGGGGTGAGGTCATGGACCAGCTGGAGGTGACTGTACTGGTCCAGGTGGGCAGTGCTGGGGTTGAACTAGATAGAGGGAGAGGAGAGGAGAGGAGTGGACGCTGGGAAAGTCTGGCAGAAGAATGTTTCAGGCAGAGGGGACATCCCGTGCAAAGGTCCTGGGGCAGGAAGGGCCTGTGAGTTAGAGAAACAGCAAGAAGGCCGTGTGGCTGGTGCGAAGTGATCAAAGGAGAGAGAAGGGGAGGGAGGGGGCTGGGTGGGGGTGTGCAGGGCCCACTGGGCCAAGGAGAGTAGCTAGACTTGCCTGTTTTTCAGCATTAAAGTTAAAGGATTAAACACTCAGCTGCTAGGTGAAAACTGGGGGTTCAAAGCCACCTAGCAGCTCCATGGAAGAAAGGCCTGGTGATCTGCCCCCTAAAGATACCCTTTGGGGCAGTTCAGCTCGGTCACATGGGGTCACTGTGATTTGGAATTGACCC